TGAGTAATCTTTTATTTAACAAAATATTAATAGAACAAAATTTTTTAATTTTATGATTTGACAATATTTTACTATCATTCAAATGTAATGAGCAGTGCATGGGACATAGCAAAATAACATGCACCCTCTTACACAAAAATAAAAAAGTAGAAAATGTATCTAAAGAGTCAAGTAATGCTTTTGTTATGAATATAAAAACTTAGCCTAATATAAACTAAACCACAAAGGAAAATATAGCAGCAGAAAAAAATGAAGACTAATAAAAAGACTTCTAAGCAAACTTTATTTTTCATTGGCAATCACAGGTTAGCAGTGTCAAGCAATCCCTGAATAATTGGCACGGTAAACAAAAAAGGCTTTTAAACAACATACGGGTATCCTGACATTCCATAACAAACAAAACAACACTAGATTACATATCTGAAAAATGCTTCATTTTTAAAAACAGGGTATAAAAATATGATAATATATTTCAAGAAACAGACCTTGCAACATAATCAACATAAACAGACCTTGCAACCTTCACAGTTCATTAATTGTCTTCAAAATATCTGACAGTGTTAAAACATTCATAATCTTCAATGGGTAATTCAGTCAGTGTAAACAGAGATGGGCTTTAGACTCTAAAAAGAGTTGATTCTCAATATTTTTAAATCAATATCTATTTATAAAAATCTATGACAGATTTTAAATAGAAAGATTTATGGTGCTTTAACCACATTATGAGCTCATTAATGTGATTTCCCTCACCAAAGTCTAAATTTTAGACTGTCTTACAACACAAGATACAAAGTGTTCCTCTTATATAATGTATGACCTTGTTCTTAAATAAAAAACAGCTTTGTAATGAAATATTAGCATGTTACATTAGGCTCTCTAAGACCACAGGGCAACAATGCACACTCAAAGAGGACACGGAAAGCCATGAGTACACTCTTTTTTTTATCTAAGAACTTTTGCTGCGTTCACGCAATGTTGTGAATGATTGATAAACATTTCTAGATGACAAACCAGGATGTCCTATTTAGAGCTATTCATGTCCTTGGAATTGGAATTATGAGTTTCTCTAGCAACACTTAACACCAAAATTAATCTGTGTAATTTGAGTAATCAATAGATGAAACCACAATACAAAAGTTAATGAAAATGCCTTATTAATAATCTTATAGTTTATTCAGTGGGGCATTAGAAAGTTATTCTGTGCTAACTCTGTGCTAGCTACATTAAAGGGGTCATATGATGCTGCTAAAAAGAACATTATTTTGTGTATTTGGTGTAATGAAATGTGTTTATGCGGTTTAAAGTAAAAAAAAAAACCATTATTTTCCACATACTGTACATTTTTGTTTCTCCTCTATGCCCCGCCTTTTTGAAACGCGTCGATTTTTACAAAGCTCATCGGTCTGAAAAAGCGAGGTGTGCTCTGATTGGCCAGCTATACAGTGCATTGAACAACAGGGAAGTTCACGGAGGTATGCAGGCAGAGACGGATCTGCATAGGGATCAGGGGCCAGCCGTCGACTGTTCCTCCCAACTTTTGCGGGCCAGTTGGGAAAAAATAGTCTCAGAACCGTGTTTTTTTTTGCACCATAGCTCACGGGTACAGCCTGCAATTTCGACGGCGCCCTCCACCCTTTTCAAAAGTCCGAATGACTGTTGTCAGGGACCCACTACTGAACTCCATACTGGTAGAAGAGATAGAAAATCTCTTACAAAAAGGAGCAATTTCAAAGGTGCCCTTCAACGCACAGCAGACTGGATTTTATTCAACTTATTTCATAGTGCCAAAAAAAGACGGCGGTCATCGTCCCGTTCTAGACCTCAACCAATACTTGAAAGTTCTTCCATTCAAAATGATCCATACAAGGATTGTAATGCAGTCCATAAGTGCAGGAGAATGGTTCACATCTCTGGATCTAAAAGATGCCTATTTTCATGTTCCAATTTGCCCAGAGCACAGGCCCTTCCTCCGCTTTGCTTTTCAAGGCCAAGCCTTTCAGTTCAGGGTTCTACCATTCGGCCTGTCATTAGCACGAAGAATCTTCACTCGGGTGGTTGCAGCC